CATTGCTGATGGAAAAGTAAAATGCTACAGCCACTCTGGAAGGCAATTTGGGAGTTCGGTGCTTCAACAGAGAAATAAAACTATGCTATGTTCATACATGCACTTTTATACGACATTGAAAATAAGTGAGCTACAGTCACACAACTGCATGGAAATATGTTTTAAATGTTGAGTAAAGCGAGCAAGACATGGACGCATTTACATATATACTGTCTGATTCAATTCATCGAGTTCAACAAATAAGCAACACTAATCTAAATTGTTAAGAGATGCATACATAGGTGCCGTAAATATAAAGAAAGGCAAGAAAAACAGCACTAAAAGTCAAAATAATGATTTCCTTTAATGAGAGGGGAAGGTTAGAGTTTAGGGGTTTCTGACCTTTAGCCATGTTTTATGTCTTAGCTTGGGTGATAAGCATTCCTGTTATAACTTTTATGCACATGCACTATTTCATAGTAAAGATTTAAAATAAAAATGATGGATCTCTATTGTAAAGTCTTTCTTAAGGTTTGCTAAGTTTTTCTCTACCATTTTGTCCTCTCCTTAAAGCTTTTCTGTTATATCAAATTTCTACCTTAAGATTATTTACCCTTTAGTCTTCTCAGAGAAACCTATTTGTCAGGATTCGACACCCACTGGTATAATTAGAAAAAAAGAGCACTGAAAATTGGAACTTTTGTCTCCAATTAGTAACTCACCATTATGACTTTGACAAGCAAGACTCTTCCCTTCTCTAGTCCTCAGTTTCCTCTTCTGAAACATTAAACTGCTTGATCAGATAATTTAGGCAATCCCATCCAGCCCTAACATTATGTAAAATTTATAGGAGCCTCTAAATAAATTAATCTGATAGGACAGCAGAGGCAGCCCTGAAAAGAGGATGGTGTCCCGGCCTTAGCTGTGTTAACCAAACCAAGTTTCCTTAGGGTTTTCTCACATGTAAAGTGAAAATGTGACTTAATCTACAGGGTTATTGTGAACATTAATACATTATATTGGTCAGGGTTCTCCCAAGAAACAAACCTAATGGGTGTGTTGTGTGTGTGTGTGTGTGTCTGTGTGTGTACATATACATACAGAATCAAAGGGGGTAGGGAGACGGGTTTACTTTAAGGCATTGGCTCGCAAGATTGGAGGGCTGGCAGGTCTGAAATGTTCAGGGCAAGCTGCCAGCCTGTTAATTCCAGCAGGAGTTAATGTTGCAGTCTTGAGTCTGACAGCAATCTGGAGGCAAAATTCCCTCCTCTTTGAGGACCTCAGTCTTTTCTCCTAAGGCCTTCAACTAATTGGATGAGGCCAACCCAATCTGCTTTACTCAGTCTACTGATTTAAATGTTAATTACATCTGAAAAATACCTTCATGGCAACATGTAGTGTTTTGTCAAACAGCTGGGCACCTTAGCCTAGCCAGGCTGACAAATAAAATTCACCACCACACATATCTCTAAGTGTTTACCACTGTGCCTGAAAAAAAAAAATCATAGGTCATTAATAACTATTATTTGCTTTCCCCTCTGATTCATACTTTAATTGGATATTTATTTCCAAATAAAGTTTTAAATCTGCCTGCCTGTCTCCAGATATACCCATACTGCCTTAGTTCATGGAACTCAGCAAAGTTTTCTTGAATAAATCAATAGGATTAGAGGTGTATTTCTGAAACACTCTGGTTTTTCCTTAGTTTAGCACTTAGCACTTGTTTAGCACTCTCCACTAGACTCTAAGTTTGTTGAATTGCAGAGATGGTATCTTTTTCTCCATGGTGAAACCCAGCACATTTTCCAGCATACAGTTGGCTCTCAAATATTTGTTGACGAAATGAATAAGCTGGGAAGATTTAGATATTTTTTTAAAGGGCATGCTGTTGTGTTAACATACAGTTTTATCATTTGCTCAATGCTCTTAAGAACTTTGATTCTTCAATAAAATCAATTCTGTATTAAAAATATTCAGTAAAATTTGGTAAAGATGATTTGTTCATGTAGATAATCAAGCTGGTGGGGACACAAAATGTAAAAGATAAAAACAAATATGAATTAGGAGAATTTGTGTCACAGTATGTACATTTTAGTTATACTCTTAATATTTACCTATAATATGCCATCCTGCTACAGGGTGTTTATTCCATTCACTGAAGATGATAAATATGGTCTATACTACATGTAAATTCCAAGAATGCCTTGAAGATAGCTCTAACTAGAAATCTATCATTTAGCTGTAAATAATTTAAAGAAGAAAAATGCTCTTCTTAAGTATACAAACACAGACAATAAAAAACATACACATACAAACATATTTATTTATCTCTTTTCTGTCTTAATTTTTCAAGGTGCTTTACCCAGCCTGAGTCCTGTGAATTCTCCCAGCCATGGACCACTGTATGCTGGCTCTCTAACTAATCGATCACCTATAGAATTTCCTGATACTGCTGATTTTCTTACTAAGCCAAGTGTTACTTTACACAGATCTCTGGGCAATGCACCCAATTCACCAGATTTTTATCAGCAACTTAGAAATTCGGATAGCAATTTATGTAACAGGTAAGTTTTCCAAATGTTTATTTCTTTTTTACAATATAGGTTATTTTAATAAAGTATTCCTTATTTTTAGTTGTATATCATATAACTAGATGATGAATTACAACTATATCTTCTTTATTTTCCTAGTAGTTTTATTCTAAATAAAATTTTTCTCATTTCAGTGCTCTCATTCATTTTAAGATTAAATGATCTCCATCTAAAGTGAAATATAGTGGTATTACATATCAGTGAATGTATGAGATTTTAGTATATACTACTTTAGTGACTGTTTATAATACCCAGTTCATACGGTGTTCATTCTCATTTCTGCTTTGCTAGTAAATAAGTGTTGACTTTCAATCCCATTGACTTTCAAAGGTTATTTTCTTCAGGGACAAAGAGATGCTTTCTAGGATAAACCTATTTATACATTGGAATATCAGGATGTGTTTCATTTGGGTGCTTGGTTAAAAATTAAACAAATTTTCTAATTGTATCTAAATAAGAAAATTTACCTTACTTATTATATATACATATGTTTATACTTATTTATCTGTTTCATCCTATAAGCTGCGGGCATCAAATACAGAAATATGTTTCAACATCTGAATCAGAGTCTGGTACAGACTGCCATAGTGGAAAATCGGGTGAGATTGCAAAAGTCATATATGTTTAACTTTAAGAACAGTTTCTTACATTATTTTTTAAGATGAATAAATGAATGAGTTTAACTTCAGTTTATCCATCTTTAAAATGAAAATTATAGTGTTTTTATCTACCTCAGAGGAGTTATTAGGAACAAATTAAAATAACAGTGAAAGTATTTTGAAGAGTAAAAATGTGCCTTACAAATGAATATAGTATTAGGTTATGGCTCAGGCTCATGGTGAAATTAAGTATATTAATGTTAAAATTTATACTGCACAATCTAAGTCCAAAAGGTTTGCATAATTTTTTTATGGCACAGAGAGGAGTTTTAAATTAATTATATCATTCTGAAACATTTTATATTTTCAAACAAGAAAAATTGATGGTGATAAAAGTTGTTTTATCACTTAAACAATTGATGACTCAAGTTTCCAATAATACTTAGCTGGTTAACTCACACCAACTGCCCCCTGACATTTGTTTAACATTTGAAAATCATTCAATGTAATACACCACATTAATAAAGGGGGGGAAATCACATGATAATCTCAATAGACACAGAAAAAGCATTTGACAAAATTCCAACTTGATAAGATCAAAATGGTAATTGCAGGGATGTTCTTCAACTTGATAAAGGACATCTTTGAAAAACACACAGCTAATGTTATCTTTAATGGAGAAAGACTGATGCTTTCCTGAAGAATACGAGGATTTTTGCTGTTAGCATTCCTAGTCAACATTGTACTGAAGGTTCTAGCTAGGAAAACTAGAAAGGAAAAGAATTAAATGCATCGTGAATGGAAGCAAAGGAATAAAACTGTCCCTAGATCTATGGATCATATGATATTTTACATACAAAATCCCAAACACACACACACACACACACACACACACACGAACAAAACAGTTTAGCAAAATCACAAGATCAGTGTACAAAATCAGTTGTATAAATTGAAATTAAATAAACATTTCCATCCACAATAGTATCAAAAAGATAAAATAGAACAAAAGTGGGAGATTTATAAACTGAAACTCTAAAACATTGTTGAGAAAAACTAAATAAATTGAAAGGCAATTCATAGTAATAGATTGGAGAACTTACTATCTCAGTATTGTCATGAGGGCTATTCTCCCAAACTGATCTATAAATTCAATACAATCCTTATCCAATTCCAGCAGGCTCTTTGGGGTAGAAATTGACAAGTTTATCTTAAAATTTATATGGAAATACAAATGACCTACAATAGCCAAATCAATTTGGAAAAAGAACAAATTCGGAGGACTAATGCTACTTGATTTCAAAACTTATAAAGCCACTGTAATTAAGACAGTGTAGTTTGGGCATAAAGATGAGCCTGTAGATCAGTGGAACAGAAGTGGGAGTCCAAAAATAAATTCTTGCATTTATGGTCAATTGATTTTTGACATAGAAGCCAAGACAATTCCAAAGAGAAAAGAGTTTTTTCAACAAAAGAGGCCAGGACAATTGGATATCCATTTGCCAGAAAAATAATTTGGACCCTTACCTCACCATATACACAAAAAGTAACTCAAAGTAGGTCATAGATTTAAATGTGAGTGTTAAAACATGAAACTTGTAGACTATAGGACATAATCTTTGGAACGTTGGGTAAAGCATTCCTAGATACAATACCAAAAGCACAATCCATGAAAAGAAAAAAATGACAAATTGGGCTTTAGCAAAATTAGAACCTTTTGCACTTCTAAAGACATCAATAAGAAAATGAAACAACGAACCTTAGATTGGGAGAAAATATTTGCAAATTATATATCTGATAAAGGTCTTATATCCATGATACACAAAGAATGCTTACAACTCAATATAAAGAAAAACAATTAAAAATTGGGCAAAAGATTTTAAATATTTTGGTAAAAGTCACTTTGTAAAGGATGTAAACAAAATGGATATGAAACACATGAAAAGATGGCATTAGTCATTACATAAATGCAAATTAATACTACCGTAAGATACCCCCTACACTCAAACTAGAATAGAATGAGGGTACTTTTGGGGGGTGATGAGAATGTTCTAAAACTGGATTGTCATAATGGTTGCACAACTTTGTAAATTTACTAAAACTGTTGAATTATACACCTAACAATGGGTGAAATTTATGGTATGTAATTATATTGAATAGAGCTTTTAAAAAGTAACAATTTATTAATTCTAAGAGTTCTTTAGAGTAATCAGAACAGTTATACAGCCTGTAAAGATTGCAGGGGGTTGGGAAGAATACATTTCAAAAGACTGCATGTGGGGGCCGGCCGAGTGGCGTGATGGTTAAGAACTGGCATGGGATGCCAGAGGGCCCCGGTTCGGATCCCACATATGAGGGCCAGTGACACTGCCCTCTACAGCTAAGATGCTGAACAACAGCTCAACCTGGAGCTGGGCTGCCGTGAGTCGCCGGCGATGGCGTAGGCTGCAGCCCCTGTGGCAGTGGGTTGCCATGGGCTACCGTGTGTAGCCAGCAGCCAGCGACTGATGTGCCTCTCCCGGGAAGAGCGCAATGATGGTGCCAACTTGGGCCAGTGAAGCAACGTCCTCCACAACTAGGCTGAAGAACAAAAAGACAGCAACTTGTCTGTTCCCCTTCCCCCAATTCCCCAGCACTATTCCCATCCCCCAATTCCCCAATAAAAATCTAAAAAAAAAAAAAAAAAAAAAGACTGCATGTGGGACAAGACATAGTGTTGTGGATATCTTTGGAAAAGAAATTGCTACCTTTATTTCAATTGTTTTTATTATTATCTGTAAGATATAGTTATTAGGAATTTAGATAATTAAAAAGTAAATCATGTAATGTACCTCAAATGTCAACAATTTTTAGATTGATAGCTATTTTAGAATGTCATTGTAATTACTGCCTGAACTTACTAAGAACAGGTGAATATTTTAAATTTCATTTCTTAAAATAAATGTCTTTCATTTGGAAAAAATATTTTCTAAAAGAAAATACTTTCTGATCATCAGTTCATAATTTTTTAGTATATCCAGTGTGTTAGGTTCAAATTTGACTAACATTTATTGGTCACCTATTACATGTAACACCTAGTAAGACAGGTGTTATTATCCACATTTTACAGGAGGAAAAGCTTGCCATTTTTAAGTAAAAAAATCAGGATTTAAACCTAGTTCTTCTAAAACTCAGCTACAGTGAGTTTACACTTAACATACCTGTGCAATCAGCACCCAGATCAATAAACAAAATATTACTAGCACCTCAGAATTTCCCCTCAGTTCCCCTTCAGATTTATCCCCCAGAGATAACATTCATCTCGTCTTTCAGTACTCATATGTATCAGTTTTAACGTTTTTGAACTTTTCATAACGAGAATCAGAGTATGAACCTTGTTCCTTATTCAGCATTATATTTTTAAGAATCATACATATTGCTGCACGTAACTGTAGTTCGTTCTCTTTGCTCTGTGATGTTCAACTGTATGAGTACACTAGTTTATTCTACTGTTGATGGGTTTTAGGAAAGTTTCCTGTTCAGGGTATTATAAGTAGAATGAATATGAGTATTTTACATGTCAATAAATACTGTTTAGCCACCAATGTTGCTTCCCTTTTCCATGTGATTTGGAGAAAATATTATTAATCACATGGGTAGAGAAATAACTCACAGTTCATAATACTGTGTTTTAATTTTTAGATGTGCCTTAACGTCATTCATTCATAATTATGAATTGAGAGTTTTCATATCCAAAACTCAAACAACTGCAGATGGAAATTGTTTACATCAAAATGGTCTTAAAATTTCCTATCAATAGGGACCTTTTTATGTTTCTCACTTTTATAAAGGATATTCATCCACCCATCTCTTTCATCCATGAATAGATGTATCAGGTGAAATGTCTACATTGCTAAGCACAAGGTACCTGGGCTAAATATAAAGAGTCCAACAAGATACAATTTAGTGGTATAATTTTTTTAGTGTCATTAATTTAGATTGAATGCCAGTATGGTTCACTTCATCTGAATACTTTTGCAAATAATTTTTCTTATAAAACTATCTACATAAGGCAAGTTTTATTCTTATTATTACTATATATTTTTTGAAAGGTGATGAAGACAACACCACTTTCTCAAAAGAATCACTCAGCCTTGCAGAAGCTCAACAAGAAGTGGAAACAGAGAGCACAGATTGCAGGAAATTATTTATGGAAGGTGATAATCACCTAACAGAAGAGGCACAGAATGAACAGCAATCAAATGTAAAAAATAAACTTCCAATATGATTATGTTATGGTGAAATACATTAATTAGTGTTTAGTTTCATTATTTGTGCCCAGAACAAGGTTTTGAATATAATGATATTTAATTTTTTATTTATTTATTTTTTTTTTAGTGCCGGCCAAGTGGCTCAGTTGGTAAAGAGCTCGCTCAAGAGTGTGAGCTCTGAGCAACAAGGTCGCTGGTTCAATTCCCGGCCCAAGCTGAGCTGCCGCTGAGCTGCTAACAGGTGGCAGGATGGCTCAGCTTTTTTTACTGAGAAAATCACTAAACCACATTAAAGAAAACTTGAATAAAAAATAATTACTTCTAAACTCATTATCCTGGGACCAAAAAGTGCATTCATTTAAAAATGAACATTTTATTTAATTTTATAGTAGATATATTACTTTCTATGCTGATCTTTTCTTCATTGTATATGTTAAAGGTGGAAGGACATGTGCACAGTCTTTAAAAAACAATGAAAATACTCTAGTTAACTTTAAATAGCAATTTAAAGTTCAAAATTTAAGCTTTTTAGGAAAAAAGCCAATCCATTTTTCTTGGGAAGTTAGGCTAGTAATAAATGCTTAAATAAGGATATGAGTTTCTATTTATCCTTGATACCTGTAACTTCTAAAATGAAAATAATGGATTTTAGATTTGTATAGTGTTTTAGAAATATATTTTTATTTATAATAGTAATGTTAAGATTAAGAAGTCTGATGTCTGGAAGACATGTTTATATTTGTATTAAGATGGCATTCTACAAAGAGAAGAAATAGGAAGAAAAGATTATATTTGAGAAAAACCATTGTAGAAAACAGTACTGACCATTTTTAATGTTCAATTTTAAATGTTCTCATTTAGATAAGGATTTAACAATATTTATAAAAGGGAAGGTTAAGTCGGTTTGGATTTTCCCCCTTTATATACAGATTGAACAGGAATCATCACTGGACCTGATTTTAATAGAAGATTATGACTCATTAATAGAAAAGATGAGCAACTGGAATTTTCCAATTTTTGAACTTGTAGAAAACATGGGAGAGAAGTCAGGAAGGATCCTGAGTCAGGTTTGTTTCAAATCTCCACTGCTTTTTTATTATAAATGAATTTTTTTGAATCTTTATAAAAAGCAAAATCTAAAAATGTATAATATTGGTTTAGGCAGAAATTCAACATTTTTCATTTAATTATTTTTTTCACAAATGAGATTTGCTGTAGAAAATTTTAAGAAAAACAAAAAGCCATATACACACACGTATGTGTATACACACACATTATTATATATGTATTTCATATAATTATATATTATATATAAATAGTTTATTTGCCCATAACAATGGGATTAAATTTTACTGAAGTTTTACTTTAAAGTTTTACTATAAAGTTTTACTTTATATTGAATCTTGAGATTGAAAAGGACATGAAAAGTGATCTAGTTCTGGCCTCTGAAACGTATACTTTGTTTTTTCCATCTGCCATCCCTATACTCGACTCACGGCCAAATGGTTCATTTCTTGCTACAATCATGGAAAAATCCTTGCCTTTTACCACCCAGATTCAAGGTTCTCCCTGATGGGTTCACACAACAGCATCAGATTAACTTTCTCAAAATACCACTCTCATTAACTCCAAAGTACCTTATTTATGAAACATACAAACATAAGGATAAATTATGCAGAGGTTACACATTCATCTAATTGAGGTCTTTAGGGACAGAAATTGGTAAATATATTGTTCTGACTTCTTTTAACACCTAGGATTAGAATAGAATTCATATGCCTTTCCATAAATTGTGAATAAAAAGCTAAAGAGAAGAATGGAAAAATTTAAAAACTGGGAAATGATATGGTAATCTTTTTTTGGTTTTCAAGGGCTTTAGGGTGATGTCTTCCTTTTTCATGTTTTGGAAAGAGTTCATTGTGGAGAAGTTTTAAATAAATTATTAAAGACATATATACATGGTTAACATCCTAAATGCAAATCACAAAAACATATTATACTCAACTACAAATAGAAATTCTGATTTTTAAAGTGAACTTTATTTTAATTGACATTTAGGTTATGTATACCTTATTTCAAGACACTGGTTTATTGGAAATATTTAAAATTCCCACTCTACAATTCATGAACTATTTTCGTGCATTAGAAAATGGCTATCGAGACATTCCTTGTAAGTATTAACATATCTTATTATTTAAGTTCAAATAATACTGGTTTTGAAACCCTTTATTACTTTTCCCTTCAGATAGTCCCTTAAACACTTTTAAATTACATGTTTGGAAAAGTTTTAAATAGGAATTTAAAAAGAAAATCTGTATCCTACTACCTAAAGTTAACTGATTACTGTTAACATTTTGGTATATATTCTAAACTTTTTTCTTAAATATATTTACTTTTTAATAAAATAAATCATAATATTGATATCTATTTATAATCTGCCTTTTTACTTATTATGATATACATCTTTCTATGTTAATATTTATCTGAGTGCCTTATCTTTTAAAATGTTTTATAATATTAAATCAAGAGTTTCAGAAAATTCTTGACTTTAAAATGTTTAAAATTTATCCATAGCATTCCTGTTTTTAATGGTGTCCCGACTTATTGAATAATTTTTAATGGCAATTTGATTTTATGGCAAAATATCATTTGAATTTCATATTAGGAAAAGATAGTTGTCTTCATGTGTCAATACATTCTACAGTTTCCCTTCATATGAACATATTTTGGGGAAATCAAAATATATGTCATGGCTCATTAATGATGATACTTAATGATGTACTAAAATTTCCACTTACAAATTATACATTTTAAAGTGTAGTTAAATTTTATAATGGATAAAGTGCTACTTTAAGATGGACTTCAAGGGACGGGGAATGGATAGAAAGTGGTGAGGAGTACTTATTTATTGTCAGCTCCAATTAGGATATATTGGTTAAGAAAAGAGTCCCTGGATGTAACTTTTTTAAACTGTAGTTTCCAAATTTGTAAATGGGAATAACAATAGTACTTACCCCATAGGGAGTGATAGAAGATAATCAATGTAAAGCACATGGCAGAATTGGTGGGACATAGTAAATGGTCAATAAAATGTGGTGATTGGATTAATAATTAAGCTCCTAGTGGATTGACATCATGTCATAGCTATGGCCTTAATACTTAGTATTGTATCATCTACTAATTTTAAATGGTAGGTACTCATTAAATACTTGTTGAAGTGTTGAACTTTTACTGAGTATCAGCTATGACTATAATCACTAGATTCACAAAGGTTATCTCATTTAATCATTGTTGGAAAGGTTGTATTATCCACCATTCACAGGTGAGAAGCAAAAACTCAGAGCAATTTTCCCTAAGATCATAAAATTAAAAATAGCAAAGCTGAGTTTCACTTATAGGTTTTGCCTCTCCACGTAGTGGTATTTCAGTAAACCAGTGTTTTATTGATTGAGTACACTATGTGTCAGATACTGTTCAGATATCAATAACATTTAATCGTTACAGTGGGCCTAAGAAATAAGCATTTCTCGTCTTTTTCTTCTCTTTTTGGTGGGGTTGGGAGGAAGTTCAAGTATCCAGAATTTGTAACTATTCTATGTGCCTGGGTGCAAAAACTGTTTTTGTGTGCAAATGTGAGTCTCCACAATCCAGGCACTGTTTACATTTACCAAATATTTTTAAAAGCTACCATCTTAAGTAAATATTCCAATGCCTTTACTATGTTTTCATATAAGTGTAAGTTTTTAAAATAACTTTTTAACACATCAAGAAGGTTTAAAAAATAAGATGAAACAAAAATATAATTATAGGAAACAAAAATATAATTATAGGAAATTATTCTAAGCCATACATTTCATATATAAGGATGATGAGAAAATTATTATAGTTTTTTAAATGTCCTGTTAAACATAACAGAATGATCATTTTTATAAACCATTTTGGTGACTTTAGATCACAATCGTATACATGCCACAGACGTCCTACATGCAGTTTGGTATCTGACAACACGGCCAATTCCTGGCTTGCAGCAGATCCACAATGATCATGGAACAGGAAATGAAACAGGTACTTCCTTCTACAAATCTTCCTTTTAAATAATAGGAATAATAAAATCAAGCTGTTTTATTTCATTACCACTCTTCTTTTAAATTTTTCATTCAGTAACCGTTAGTACATACAAAGGACTATGTTAAGTTTTGATACATAAATGACATGCAAATTAGGAAACCTATCTATCTTAAGAGCTAGGCAAGACTGCTGGATCTGCCATGTCTCTGTTCTGTGTCCCGCCCATTGAGGTAACCACTACCTTGAATATTATGATAATCATTCCTTTGCCTTTTTCTTTCAATTCTCGTTTTTTTAGTTTCAGGTGTATCATGTAAATGTAAAACATGTGGCATTCCCAATGAAAGGGGACATGTTTAAAAGCCTCACATAAGTATTTAGATGATATAAAAGCTTTCCTATTTTACTCCCAAATTAGTTCTGCTTCTCATCATAACTATAATTATTTATACAAATATATTGAATTATAACATGCATGGTTCTCATATTCTGGCTTATAAAAAAGGGGAGAAATACTTCAATAATACAGACACACAGAATTTGTATGGTTACAAATGCCTGAGAAATACCACCAAACTAATCAGTGAAAATGTCAGACTCAATCAGCTACCAAAGAATGTGAAGCAGTGGCTAAGTCTAAAGTACTGTCATTAGGTTTGATGGATTTGCCTTATGTTCATTTTTGTCTGCCATCCATATTTACTCTTTCCTAGTAGTTTTGTGCTTCTATTAGATCATTTTCTTTAGCTTTTTTGTTTGTAGATGTATTTATTTTGTCTAAGAATATTTTCATATTTCAGTACATTTGAAGATATTCATTCTATCATCTTCTTGACTTCTGTAGATTATGTTGACAAATTGGCCATAAGTCTTATTTCTTAAAATTATGTCCCTTTTCTCTTGGCTATTAGGGTTTATCATTTTGATTATAAGGTACTCAGGTGATTTTCTTTGTATTCATCCTGCTTGGTATTTAGTGAACTTGAATATATTGATTAATATCTTTTATTGGTGTCTATCATGCTCTTCAAATTCCAGCCTCTGCCCATTGCTCAATTCCAAAGCTACTTCCACATTTTTAAGTATTTGTTACAGCAATACCCAACTTTGAGGTACCAAAATCTGTATTCGTCTTCTATTGCTGCTGTAACAAATTATCAAACTCAGTGGCTTAAAACAGTACGAATGTATTATCGTACAATTCTGAAGGTCAGAAGCCTGAAATACGTCAAGCTGAGCTAAAACCAAGGTGTCAGCAGGATTTTCTTCCTAGAGTCTCTAATGAGAATCCATCTTCTAGCCTCCTCCAGCTTCTAGAAGCCACCTGCATTCCATGGCTCATGGTCACTTCTTCAAACACAGCAGCATAATCAATTAGCAAAAAGTCGCCCAGCTACAGCCTTGGCTTTCTATCCAGACAGAGTACACCTTCCTGACAACACGTCTCCTACTTTTAGTGTCTTTTGCAGCCTGGCAGGTTGAGAATTTCCCAAATTATCAAGTTCTGGTTATTTTTTTGCTTAACAGTTCTCCCTAAATCTCTCTTTCTTCTCGCATTTTACGATAAACAGTAAGAATCCAGGCTATATCTTCAATACTTTGCTTGGAAATCTCCTTAGCTAAATATCTAAGTTTACTGGTTGCAAGCTTTGTGTTTCACATTAACTGCAGCACACAATTTGGGTAAGCTTCCTGCTACTGTATAGCAATGATCTCTTTTCCCATAGTTTCCAGTAATATGTTCCTCATTTCTTTCTGAGCTCTCATGGGCAGTGCTCCTAACAGCAGTTTTCTACCTCCAGCCTGTTCAAAGTGATTTAAGTATTCCTTAATGCAATATGGTATCTCTCCCATGCTCCTCACTTCTTTCAGAGTTCTTACTAGCATTGCTGTAAATCCTTACATACGCTGTTATGGAATCAAGTGTCTGTAAAAGACAAGGCTTTGGGAGACCAACTAGCTGTTGAAATGGAAAATTATGGTGAAAACAAAGACTACTAGGACTATGGGATGTGCTAACCTTATTCTGATTGCATTGGAGAATAGAAATGATTATGACACAAAAAGCACTAGCAACACCAAACTAAAAAGCTTCTGCAAATCAAGGAAACAATTTAAAAAATGAGAAAGCAACCTGCAGAATGGGTGAAAGTATTTGTAAACCACATATTGGATAAGGAGTTAATATCTAAAATACATAAAGCACTCATACAACTCAATAACGACAACAAAAAAATCAATCAGGTAAAAAATATGGGCAGAGGAACTAAAGACATTTTCCCAAAGAGGACATCTAAATGGCCAACAGATATATGAAACGATATTGGGCATCACTAATCAGGGAACTGCAAATCAAACCACAAGGACATGTCAACTCACACTTGTTAGGATGGCTAATATGTCGTTTTAGGTCCATGTTTTTAAAGAGTCTATTTGTTAGGTAAGTAAACAAATAAGATAAATAATATTACCTACGGGGATTCCCCTCCTTAGCCTCATTATGAAGAAGTTATGTGTAATGCTGGTTTATTTTGCTTATTCCTCAGATTCTGATGATAGAATCAACCCAGGGCAAATTGCCTACATTTCTTCAAAGAGCTGCTCCATTCCTGATGAGAGCTATGGTTGCCTATCTTCAAACATTCCTGCGCTGGAGTTGATGGCTTTATACGTGGCGGCTGCCATGCACGATTATGATCACCCAGGGCGGACAAATGCATTTCTAGTGGCTACAAATGCCCCTCAGGTAGGAAACACTTTTTCAGAAAGTTTAAAAAGTAATTCTGAAATTTTACAACAATGCTATATATCCCTTTGTAAACCATTATTCAGGTGAATCATATGGCCATTCCACCTACACTGTAATCGCGTGGCTATTAACACATGGCATCAACATGGTATAGGCTAAAGAATTAGGGAAAAAAAATCACCTTGCACTGGAAAACAAATAAAATGTTCATGAAAGAGTGACTCGTTGTTTTTATGAAATTCTGGAGTTCTTAAACAAATAAAATGTTCATAAAAGAGTGATTCACTGTTTTATGAACTTTTGGAGTTCTTAAACAAATAAAATGTTCATGAAAGAGTGACTCACTGTTTTATGAAATTCTGGAGTTCTTAAATAAATGTTTATGAAAGAGTGACTCACTGGTTTTATGAAATTCTGGAGTTCTGGCTGTCAGTAGTTTTGCCTTTGATCAAATTGATAAGTTTCTGACTAGATGTGAGATTTACTCTTCCTTCTGGCAAGGTCTTTTGTATGGCTAAAAGCTACCATGATGGAGAACTATTATTTTTGTTAGCTTCTTTTTCCTCTAAGACACACCATAATACAGGCTCTAAATCTTTTATCTCTGAATATTTTAGTGTATGTAAAAATTCATCTAGTAACACATTATTTTTGTACCCAGTACAGCTGATAAAGTGCAATTTCCTTTATAGTCACAATTTGCATAAGAGTAGGAGTTCTCAACAAAAGGATACTGTAATTGTTAATAGCTTTAAACATTAGGACTTGGAACCAAGTACTTAGTTTTAAGTAGAATTTAGTGTGGCTGTGGGTATTTTTTTTTAAAGATTTTTATTGGGGAATTGGGGGGGTTGGGAACAGTGTTGGGGAATTGGGGGAAGGGGAACAGACAAGTTGCCGTCGTTTTGTTCTTCAGTCCAGCTGCGGAGGACGTTGACTCACTGGCCCAAGTTGGCACCATCACCGCGCCCCTCCCGGGCGAGGCAGATCAGTCGCCGGCCTCTGGACGGCCGCTCACTGTGGCTGCTGGCCGCTCACTGTGGCTGCTAGCCCATGGCAACCCACTGCCACAGGGGCTGCAGCCTACGCCGTCGCCGGCGACTCATGGCAGCCCAGCTCCAGGTTGAGCTGTTGTTCAGCATCTTAGCTGTAGAGGGCAGTGTCACTGGCCCTCATATGTGGGATCCGAACCGGGGCCCTCTGGCATCCCAAGCGAGCTCTTAACCATCGCGCCACTTGGCCAGCCCGAGTGGGTATTTATTTAGGCTGGTGATTCCTGAAACATCCATCTTTGTATTTCTAACTGTGTGCCTTACAGGGATTAAGTAGCCGATGACTGCTGAATTCATCTTTTTCATTTTTCAAACTATATATTTAAACCTCAATTCTGATTCTTTCATTTCTGTAGCCATTCTGTGTTCCTTATCTCACTTCTACCTCTTTCACACATTATCACGTTAAAATACAGGGTATAGATTCTCTAGCCAGAGCAAGAGGACTCAGAGGTGGGGAGAAGGGGAGGGGGTTAAAGGGCTCTGGTGCTTCCTTTTCTCCATGAGACTTCATCTATTAATAGCTCATGATTACCACAGGTAACTTTTTAATGAATTTCAACCTAGATATTTATTGTAAGAATTGCTTTGGGAGAAATTACCCACTAAAGAGCAAATATTTCCTCATTTTCAGTACTATTCTGCAAGAATCAATGCCCATTCTCTCAAGCCTGACACTTCAAAACCTTTGAAAATCCATTAGTCCTATGGGGAGTCAGACCTGGGCAGTAGTGGCACAGTGGAAAACCCACTGGTCTTAGGATCAAGAGACCAGAGTTTGATTTCTGGTTATCCACTTAATAGTTATGTGACCTTAGGCAAATCACCCTCACCTATTTTTCTGAACTTCAAAATATGTACCTAATATGATTAAGGGTAAAAGGAGATAACATATGGAAAGTTTCCTACTGTTTTGTGTATTTGAGAGGCTCCTGAATCAGATTATCATGTAGACAGAAATTGTTTACTGTTCTTTTCCACACTCTTTTATTCTGGCTTTTATTAGCTTTGAGTATTGGTGAGTCAGACTTGTTTATTACTTTTCCTTCAAGGATATTAAAAATGAGTGAATTCTAGGTTACCTCTCTCACGTGCAGAGCATTTTAAAACACTGATACATGAATATAATTTACAGTTATATACTCAAAACCCTTGCTCTTATCAAAATTCAACATGAACTCTGGATATAATATCAATAATCGTATTTTAATTCTAACTTCTCATTGTTAAGGATTGCCAATAGATGGGAAGCTCTGGAATGGAAAGGAAATTATTGAGTTCAACTGTTGAAAAAGCATAGCCTTTTACCTTGTCTCCTTGCTTAATTCCCACCCCTCTTCCATCTGTACTCGACACATAGCAGCCAGAGGGACCCTGTTTGAATGCAACATCACTTTCTGTTCCGAACAGCCCAGTGGCATTCACCACCTTACTAGTAAAAGTCATTACGATGGCTCAGAAGGCCCTGCACGATTGAGCCTCCACTGAGTCTCCTTTTTCATATTCACTGAGGTTTAGCCTCACCGGCCTCCTTGCTGTTTTCTTCTATATCCCAGGCACCCGCTGTCTGACAGCCTTGCACTTTCCGCTCTTCCTTCCCAGAGCTCTCTTTCCCCAGATGTCTATATTAGCTCAGTTTGTCACCGCCTTCCTTCTGAAATTTCAGAAGCCCCTTTCTGGCACTCATTATGTTCCTTCCCTGCTTTATTTTTTCCATAGCAATGATCATTTAGCATATTATGCATTTTGTTTATTATATATCTCTTCTCAGTGGAATGTACGATTCCATGAGGGCAGGGGTCTTTTTTTGTCTCTTTTATTCCTGAATACCTAGACTAGTACCTAGCACGTAAAAGGCATTCAGTAAATGTTTGTTGACTGTTGAAGGATGCCTGATTTCTTTGCTCTGCAGGACTGCAAGCTTGTCTGAAATGTACTCAGTTCTTCCCAAAGTAATGAAATTCATGAGAACTTCCTCAGCTAGCACCTGTGAGATAAGGACTCTTTTGTGAAAGCCTGAGGCTGAAAGTGTTTATTAGGTAATAAAGTAGGTTCTCTAATCTTAGGAAGCTCCATGGGTCTGATCAGACCATAATTAGTGAAAGACATTGCTCCAGTGTGTTATTATTTAAATTATTATTATATAATTATCATATACAGTAGTATATCATATCACCAACTGAATCAAACACCCCTCCTCATGGTAAAGAAGTATGCAGGGAAGACATGGGAAGATTATTTTGAATCCTCGCCATGAAAGAAGGTGAAACATTTAGTCAGGTTTATCCTGGACGGATGTCAGCATCTGAGATCTCTGAGCTATTTCCAAATGAAAAATTGGCTAAAAAATGGAGATTAGTGCTTGAGATTACTAGAGTTTATAGAATATTTTGATGAGATACGGGGTAAGAGGAAATAAAATTTTAAGTTGAGATTTGTAAATCTGAGAGTCATAAATGTATTTTGTGCCCCCAAATATGGCTCTAGGTGGTAACTAAACACAGGCACATGTCTGCCTCCCCTTCCTCCTGATTTAAAGGATAGTCAGGGGTGAAGCTCAGTACAACAGAGAGGAATAGTCAGAAGGGTATTAACACCAGTAATTAGTTTGATACTGTTTCTGGACAGTGAAAAACAGATGGATGAATACTGAAAGATAAAATGACAGTGCTAGAAGGGGGCCACAGCCTAAGTGGAACCCTGTCTAGAAAGACTCCTGAAGCCCTTGCCCCACCTGCTCTGCATACACACACGCTTGAGTGTGTGCACATGGAGTACCCCCCCCCGACCCCCCCCCACACACATATACCACACACCTTTAAGCAAAGCTACTGCAACCCAGCATTGACCTCCAGGTAGAAAACTCATCTCTTAGATATTAAAGGAAACTGCCAGGAGAGAATTACTAGTGTGGGTATTATTATTCCAGAGTAAATCCTTCTCATTCTGGAAAATGAACAGCTGGCACCCAGTCTGGTAATTCTCAAGCAAAACCTGCTAGGTAACAAGCTCTGTCCACATCCAGAGTTCCTACTCATCCTTCCCAATTAAAGAAGATACTTGGCAATAAAACATACACAAGAGCAAAAGACAGTCATACTTGCAATGTAGAATTCATATTTTTTTATATCAGTGGATAACCAAGCATTACCAGACATTGACATTAACCAGTAGCTTAGAAAGAGAAGGCTCAGATGAACAGAATAACTGAATACAAACCACACACTCACACACACACAATTTAGGGAATAGAAAAGCACTGAATTTCTTTTAAAAGTTCTCAGAGAGAATTTGAAAAACATTATACCCATAAGAACAGGGAAACTATGAAAAAGAAAAGTCAGAGAATCAAAGCTCTTAGAAACTAAAAATATTACTGCAGAAATTTTAAAAATTCAACGCAAGCATTGGAAGTAAAAGTTAGATAATCTGTCCTAGAATAGACTAAATGACAAAGAGAGGAAAGTTAGGGAAAGAAAAAATAGGGGACCACGTCAGGAGCTGACTATTGGAAGTTACAGAAGTCTGTGGGTTGAGGGGTTCACCAAATACCAGAGAAGTTGAATGGGGGGAAAAACACCAAAAATCTCCACATAGTATGTCATGGTAAAATTTCAGAGCAGAGATTTTTTAAAAAGAATTCCTGAGAGGATGAAAACACACTTATAAGAGGACAAAAAAAACCAACTGGCATCATATTTTAGCAACAATGAATGGATGCTAAATGATACTGGAATAAGTCTTCAAAATTCTAAGGGAATTTCATTCACTCATTTGTTCATTCAACAAATGTTGGGTGCATACTGTGGGAGAGGCACTATTCTAGGCATTATTATTGAGCAAAAATAGGCCATCAAAAAAAAATTCTGCCCCCATGGAACGTACTAGTAAAGTAAAACAAACAAAAACACCACAAATGTTGTGTTTAAGAGACAAAGAGAGATGATTATGATGTAAGTGCTAGAAAAAATAAAATGGAAAGAGATAAGGGAATGCTGGCATAGAGGGATTATTTTCAAGTTGGATTTCTGTATCCAGCTAATAAGCTACAGTGGATCTTTAAGAGCAAAATAAAGAGAATCCCAAATATGCAAGGATTTTTAAAAATCATGTCCCATCCATCCTCAGAAAGTTACCTAAAAATGTGTTTTTACAAAAAAGGGTGATCACTAAGACAAAGGATCTTAGGAGATACCAGAAATTTTAGAAGAAACCCAGAACTTCAGGGTAAAGGAATCCCAAGACGACAGCTGTTCATCAAGATTTTTTTTTTCCTCAGCACCTCATTTGTTTACTACTTCTATTGGATTTTTTTAAAGTCAGGAATATTTTTTTATGAAAACTATCTTTCTTAGTCCAAAACTTTTCACAAGTACCCTCTTTAATCATATGACTCTGACCTAGAGATTTTCTTATCATTTCTTCCTGTTTCTAAGTCTTTCATGTCTAATTGGTTTTCTCTTTTCGCTCACGTTTATTGAAAGGTGTGTATTTATTAATTCTATCCGAGTCTGTAGTATACCTTTTTCAATTCTTTCTGACTCAAAAAATAAAGGTAAAAAGTTTATAATCAACTGATTTGCTTTGCCAAATTAGAGAAGTGTTTATTTGCCTGTGGAGAGACGTAAGGAGGTCTATAGCTAGAGAAAGCAGGTGGCAAGATGCTTTAGCACAAAGTCAAGGATATTAGTTACTGCAGTTCTCAATTTGCTGGGACAGTCTTCCTTCTCTAGTTGTCAGTAAAAGCCAGTTTAGGCTTCGTTATCTGTTTTACCTGGAATGTTTTTCTGACTGAGTTTAAGCTTGGATTATTGCTCTGTGTGCAATCATCCAGTAGCTTCCTAATTGACATCTGCCTCCTACTCACTGCTCCTTGACTCTTTCTCGCCTCTACTCAGCTATAAAGTGAGTTTATTGGAGTCCCGCTGGGGACTCCTTCCACTTATTCTCTAGGTGGGTTTTTCCTTCTTATGTATACGATGTCCCCAAACAGACAAAATTAAACTACTGAAACATATTATTTAGGGATGCACACCTTTGTGGGGAGAAACGGGGTTGTGATCAGAGAGATGTACAAAGAAAGCTTCTAAGGAGCCAGCAACGCTGTATTCTTGACAGGACCATTGGTTACACGGGCATTTGCTCTATAACTATCTGTTAAACTGTTCTTTTTAAGTTTTATCATTTTTCTGCATACATGTTATATTCCACAATAAAATGCTTTTAAAAATATTTTAATAAATTACTGTGCTTGTTTAATAATTTTTTTTAAAGATTTTTTATTGGGGAATTGGGGTATGGGAACAGCGCTGGGGAATTGGGGGAAGGGGAACAGACAAGTTGCTGTCGTTTTGTTCTTCAATCTAGTTGTGGAGGACGTTGTTTCACTGGCCCAATTTGGTACCGTCATTGCGCTCTTCCCGGGCGAGGCAGATCAGTCGCCGGCTTCTGGACGGCCGCTCACTGCGGCTGCTGGCCGCTCACGCTGGCTGCTGGCTACACACGGTAGCCCATGGCAACCCACTGCCACAGGGCTGCAGCCTACGCTGTCGCCTCATGGCAGCCCAGCTCCAGGTTGAGCTGTTGTTCAGCATCTTAGCTGTAGAGGGCAGTGTCACTGGCCCTCATATGTGGGACCCGAACCCGGGTCTTCTGGCGTCCCAAGCCAGCTCTTAACCAATGCTCCACTCGGCCGGCCCAATAATTTTTTAATTGCTTGATTTCTAGAGGTGGAAGGGGCTTTAAAAATTCTATAATCCAGTGGTTTTTAAATCTGTATTCCAAAGTCCTAGAGTACTGAGGGTCTTCCTCCGGAGGGAGATGGAGAAAAAGTGAATAGTTGACACCTCTTGAACCAGAGGATGTGTGCTTTTCCCTGTTTTCATCCTTCTCTCTCTCTCTCACACGTACTGTGTCCAGAGGGAAGTACAGGATGTGTCCTCAGATAACTGGATCTCTGACTCACCCTGCTTCTTTTCAATCACCACCACCCTAGATTCCATGCTAGCTAAAAGAAGATAAATGCACCCCTAAGCCTGCTCTATGTCCCTGAGGACTTTATTAACAGAAACTTTATCTGAGGAGGTTTACTGAGTTAATGAAGTAGACCTCAAATACCCACTTGACATCTCTCAGGAGACAGCATGGTGTCTATAAGAAGATGCACTTTGGAGACAAATTACCCTCTCACGGACTAGCTGTGCCTTATCCTCCTTGTACTTCAGTCTCCTCATTTATAAAATTATCATGACCCTTCACAGGGATTAAAATGCCTGGCATATAGTAGTTACTCATTGTTTGTGTTCTTCCAGCCTGATCCTAATGCTGTTTATTATTAAAAGTTTAATATCTTTGAGATGCCTACCTCATTTTTCTTATTCCTTTTCAGGCAGTTTTGTACAACGACAGATCTGTTCTAGAAAATCATCATGCTGCATCAGCTTGGAATCTATATCTTTCTAGCCCAGAATACAACTTCCTTCTTAACCTTGATCATGTGGAATTCAAGCGCTTTCGTTTTTTAGTCATTGAAGCAATCCTTGCCACAGATCTTAAAAAGCATTTTGATTTCCTTGCAGAATTCAATGCCAAGGTTTGTTATGCAAATGAATACCTAGTTTCAAAAATGGAAATCATTCTCAGTGTTACTGATAAAAGTATTTAATATTAAGTTAGACGACTCATGAAGTCATAATATCTAATGTAAGGCAATATATGCCAACATTTAAAAACATTTTTTTTATTGTATCCTAAAATACTATTGCTTGCTCCATTTCCTCTCTGACACAGACATATTGTTGTAAGTTTCACATAGTGACAATCCAATTATGTCAAAAGCTTTTAGGGGCAGATTGGAGAAAGTGTTGCACAGTGCCAACTAAGGCACTTTATAAAATTGAAGATGTGCTTCTAAGAAGACAGTCATGCCTTCCTCGCCACACCTGTTCCACCTTCTTTGTATTAGTGTTGAATGGCTGGTGTGGGTGAGGAGAGGCACTCTCCACTCTTCTACTTGAGAATAATGCTCTCATTGAAGAGCTGTTTATTGGGATTGTCCCATATCTGCAGTTATGATGCTAAGAAATAAGGAAAGAACAGGCCCAAGTTCTCCACCCTCAGAGAACTCACATTCACTAGGGAATTGATATTCAATGCCCTCATGTAATGATGGTCCTAATCAAAGAGTGTTCTATCCCTTAGACACATGAGGTGAAAAAAAGTTGAGAACCACTGTTGTAGATTCCCAAGGGAAGGGTGCCCCCTCTTTTGCTGGCAGGAAGCTACTGTTTTCTTGATGACATTCGCGACCTAAAGGAAGATGTACCATCAGGGTAAAGGAGCTGGTTTAAAAAAAAAAAGTAGTACTAGATTTAACCCCCTGGAAATGACCTTGTATATGTTGCTGTTGTAATATTAATGAAATGCTTATAAAATTCAGTGAGAAATCAGTAAGCCTTTAAAGTTATTTCATAGTTGTGTAGCTCTATTAACTTATTTTTATTTAACTAAAATTTTATTTAAGTGCTTAAGTTCGAGTAATAGAAGTTTTGAGAGGCAAAAGATTATCTAAACCCACCACTACTTTTTAAATTTGTGTTCCTCAGAGACTTCTATTCCATTGTCTCTCAGCAAAGTGCCACAGGAGTGGGTCTCTAGATCTACAGTTTCAATAAATAGAGCTTTCCTTTTGAAAGTGTTTTCCGTAGTGTTGTCTACACCAACTTTCCTTTGACAAAAGGGTTTTGGTGCCCAATAAACTACCATCACACTCAAGTTCAAAAGCCACAGATCTGGCCCATTCACTTAATTTTCTTACAGAAGGAAATTTGAGTTCTTGGAAGGCATGGTAATTTGCCTAATTAATAATGATAATCACCATTTAAATAACAGTGTTAGCATTTAGTTAGTATTGCCTATGAACCAGCCATTTTTCATTTGTTAAAATCCTCATGGCAATACAATTAGATTGGTATTACTTTTCCTATTTTATAGATGGAGAAACTTAGACTTAAGGAGATTAAGTCATTTTTCCAGTGTTACACAATGAATCAGTAAACCTTTCTGAGTCAGGATTTAAAACCACAGGGATCAACTTCTAAGACTTGTGTTTTTTTCAATAATAACACGATTGCTTTTCACAGCTAGAGGCAACTTCTCCTTAGATCCTTAAGTGTTCTTTTTTGAAGTAGAAATAGTTACAATTCTTATGATTTGTTGATTTTTTTTGCATATACATATATTACATATTAATATGTAATAGATACACACACAGATGATAATTCTCTTTGGTAATCACAAATATTGAAACCCATGGTTGTTTTTATAGTCTCTGCTTTCACTGAAACTAAATTACAATGACACTTCAAATTTAAGGGAAACAAACCATACAAGTCCAATGTTATTGCACAACTGATTAAAAGAAGCATTTATTGAAACTCCTTCCTGTCATTTGGACAGGGAACAGTTTTAAAATAATTTGGTAGAAATGTTTGTTTTTACTCCTGTGCCCTCAGAACCTAAAATAATTCTGTTTTTCCAAAATAGGCTAATGATGTAAATAGTAATGGTATAGAATGGAGTAGTGAAAATGATCGCCTCTTAGTCTGCCAGGTGTGCATCAAACTGGCAGACATAAATGGCCCAGCCAAAGTTCGGGACTTGCATTTGAAGTGGACAGAAGGCATTGTCAATGAGTTTTATGAGCAGGTAAGTTGAAACAGGAGGTTGATTGGTGGGATGTTTAAGAGCTGCCATCTGAAAAACACTACTGTTTAGGATTCGGATAGCTACCTTAAATGTTTGAAATCTGAGTTGCTTTGTCCAAAAATGGTTAGAAATTGTTTCGTTTGCTCTGGTCTTAGTATTTTCTCAGCTCTTTTTGCCTTTGCTGCTGAAATTTAAAGTAACAAAAAATAGCTTATAGCTTCTCTGGAGTGGGTTGAATGTACTCTTGAGTCTAGAGCTGTAAGGATAGAGACTACATTATGATTCCAAGGCCCCTTTCCACCCTGTGAGCCTGTGACCTACGGTAATTTATTTCTAAATGAAGTTGGTTTTTCATTGATTCAGGGTATACTTAGATTATGTTTAAAGATATCAACCCATTTTCAACTCTGCTATAGAAACATTACCTTAAAAACATCAACTGGGTAAAAGTCCTGGCAGAGGGTAAGAAATTAGAGGGCTAGATATGGCGACAAAGTAGATACTTAATGGTTTTCAAGGATTCAGAGATATAAATATACTCTTTTCTCATGTTTTAAAATCTTGTCTTTAAAATAATCTTACCACCTTGCAGAATCTTTACCACTTTTTTTTCGGTCCAATTTTGAGGCTCCCTATAATGTAGAAGTATACTGATTTGCCCACAGCCTAACATTTCAGTTATCTCCAAAATAATCAAACACATCTTGACTTGGAATCCTTACTGGCCCTAATAATCAGGCAAGATCAAGATGTCTTCCAAGCGAGGCTTTTGTGACAGGGCTTTCTTACCATGAGCTGCTACTCCAGTCGGAGTGATGAGGCAGAGCCTGTCAACCACGCACACTTACCTGTTATACCTTGTCACCCACGGGTTATTTTAAATGACCAGTAAACAAACAAATCATCCACCTTAAACATCCCAACGCAATAATGTATAATCTGCTGTTGGTTACAAAATACCATACTGTGTAATCATGATAATAGGTAAGTATTCCAGAAATGTACTATTCTGATACATTTAAACTAGATTATTTGTAGATTGGGATAATAAATGGTTATAAATATTTGAAAATTTGTAGATTGCAGTTTTCAGTTTGCATAGTGCCATCCTCATTCTCAAAGAAAATTGAAGCCTGCCGAAGGCTTCAGTTTGTGTTCACAGAAGAACAATTTTATGTTAAGCAAAATACCATCTCAGTACAAACAGAAGTAACTAATTCAAAGAACATTTAACATGTCTATTTAGACCCACTTTATAAAATCATTTTAAAAATATATAGAATTCATTTTTAATGAGCAAACTTGGAAGCCATGCCCGAGGTTGAATCCTGGTTCCTCTTCCTTACCAGCAATGCGACCTTGGTAGGTTACTTAACCTCTGTGCCTCAGTTTCCTCATTGATAAAACAGAACATCGTTGGTATATACCACATAATTTAATCCTCACAGCAGCCTTAATATATGTGATGTCTTAGGACAGTTCGTGACACTGAAGTGCTCAATAAATGTTAGCTATTATAATTTCCGATCACTGAAAATATTTCAGACAGTTTCACTTCATCTTTGTAGGTTTCATTATTTATGTCAAAGGAGAAAAATGACAACCGACCAGAGTTGTCACGAAGGTTAAATGTACTAATCTATATGAAAGTCCTAGTCAACCCTCATCAAGACTATTAAATTTCCTCTCAACACAGTTATGCTATTAAACATCCTTCAGCTATGGATGCAAAATTCTAACCTTGCCCGCCTTTTAATCATCTTAATTATACTATCTTCGTATTCCTGTAACTATTTAAGTGTCATGGGCTTAGAAAAGCCAAACTTCTACCAAAAAAAAAAAAGCCACACCTATGAAGTTGTAGAATCCTGTAGACAAACCCAACTGTTGTTTTTTTAAAAAACATTGTTTTCTTCCTCATAAAAGACAAAGTCATAAGATTTTGAATCATTGGTCAGCTACTCGGTGGGACAGTTTCTGATGGTTTCCTTAAGACCACGGAGCTCATGTTGCCTGCAGAATTTGTGCCCTGTGGAGAGTATGCATCTCCCCTGGGTTCAGACACTGGGAATTAACATGTTAATATAATAGTACCTTTTGGGGATCGCTCAGTCAGCACTGTGGTGAACGCTTCACATACTGCTTTACTTCCTCACGGCAGCCCTGTAAAGTAGATGATTCAAATTTTACCATGAATTGGGCTTAGAGCTTGCCCAATACCATACAGGTTCTAGGTGGCAAAAACAGGTTTTAAAACCACATCTATCTGACCTCAAACTGTACTCCCCAGAACCCTAGAGAGCAGTGAGAGGGTGTCATGGGGCAAGCAGTTGGTGTCTGGGCCCCAAAGCCTCACCTCAAGCACAGTAGCCCTACTTCTTGCTGTTTTACATATTAAGTTTTCTGATTTAGATTCATTAAAGGGTTCTGCTGTTACAAAAGGGGGTGAAGGGGTGAAAAGCATTTGCAAAACAACTCTGTATGTTTGAGGTACCACTACAACAACAAAGATGTTTCCACTACACTGTCTTCCCCTAGGAGAAAGAGAATCTATATCTAACATTATAGAATTTTGCAGGTTGTTAGTAAATTTGCCCATACTTACAATATTTTAAAACACGTATATTTTTCTGGTTAACTGAATATCAACCATACTGGTTGACTGGTGGAGTGTTAAGGATAAAGTCTTGTTTAGGATTTCTCAAAAATTAAGAGAAATTCTTACAGTTGAAATAATAAAAGTAATAGATCTACTGACACTTCTTTGTAAAAATTATTTTGATGCAGACTATGGTTATTAAAATGCCTCAAGGTAATTTAATGGCAAAGCTCATTGGTGGTTCTTTCAACAGTTAAAAATGTCCTTTTCTTTTTTAAATGATCAGGGGGATGAAGAAGCAAATCTTGGTTTGCCCATCAGTCCCTTCATGGATCGTTCTTCTCCTCAACTTGCAAAGCTCCAAGAGTCTTTTATCACCCACATAGTGGGTCCCCTGTGTAACTCCTATGACGCTGCTGGGCTGCTCCCGGGTCAGTGGATAGAAGCAGATGACGACGACGATACTGAAAGTTGTTATGATGAAGATGGTGAAGAACTAGATACAGACGATGAAGAAATAGAAGACAATCTGAATCTTAGTAAGAATTGGGGATACTATCATTTTTTAATGTAATTAACTGAAAACGTCTATTTAATTTGGATTTAGATCTTTGTTTTTAAGATACAGACTCAGTAGTCATATCTTGAATAACTACTATCTAAATGTGCACATTGAATTGCGGGCTGGGTACCCATGCTGATGCTGTCACACAACAAGCTTCCTTAGTTAAGGCGGCATCTGTTGAGGTGTGGTCCTCCAGCCAGTGCTCTTCAGCAGACTGTACCCGTGCATGCATGATAGGGCTGCCACCATGTCTGAACATATGTGAGGTGAGTGGGTCCTCATGGCTAGCCCTCCTTCGCCTCACCCCACCCCACTCCTAAGCGCCTGTTAACATCTGCCCTTCATGTAGACTAGGGAAATAGATCAAAACAGTTGGGAAAAGAGGATAGCATACATTCCCTGACTGTAAGAGGAGAACCAAATTTTGTGGCATTATGAATTTGAATTACCAAACTGTAGACAGTTTTCTATATAAGGCAATGAGTATAAATGGAAAATGAAAAAGAAACATTGGTCGCCTTTGTAACCGTAAATCAGTTATTTGCTCTTTAAGGTAGAATTTAAGTTATATCTAGCTAATTTTGTTTTTTGTTCTCCAAGCATACTATACTTCAGAACAGATAGCTACAAAGAACTCCACCACCACTACCACCACCACCCCACCCCACCCCCTGCAAAGTTGTATTCAGGATCAGCATGGTGAAGAGTAATCTTACACCATTACCATCTGAGTATCATCTTGGAAAAGTTGACTGGCTTCCAAAAAAGATTTACTCACCCAAATTTTGATTACTGTGTTTAATCCAATACATAAAAAAAATCCTAAAGTGGTTCATTTTAACTTTGCATTATTACTTATTATTTGAAATTTCAGTTCCACCGTCCTCTCCACCCAGTCTTCCTTAATCCCCTTCTCTGCTTTACTTTTATCCATAACTTACCACCATCTAACATACTGATGTTTTGCTTCTTTATTTGCTTATCTAGCACTTTTCACTGGAATATGAGTTCTATCTATAAACACAGGGATTATTTATATCTTGGCTTATGACTATAACCCCAGTGCTTAGATAAGTGCCTGGAATGTAATAGGCACTCAGATATTTATTGAATGAATGATTGAACAATAGTGCTGTCATTAGAATATGTTTGTTTTAAATTTCACAGAACCACAAAGAAGGAAAGGTAGACGGCGGATCTTTTGTCAGCTAATGCACCACCTCACTGAAAACCACAAGATATGGAAGGAAATCATAGAGGAAGAAGAGAAATGTCAAGCCGACGGGAATAAACTGCAGGGGGAGAATTCATCCTTACTGCAAGCAGATGAGATTCAGGTCATTGAAGAAGCAGATGAAGAGGAAGAGAGACAGTTTGAGTAAAAGGAAAGACATACTGAAGTCCCAGCGGCTGTGCCCAGGTCAGAAATCATGGCCTAGCGCTCACTGTGCTGACCTTGGACTCCATCCCTGTGTGGACAGGCCTTAATACTGTGAGAGGATCCCTGCTGTGCCAGCAGCTTCCCACTCTTATGCACTTTCACCACAGAACTAGAAAGTTCTTCTCAGCGTGGCTTCACTTGACTCATGTTGCAAAGCCCTTAACGCCTGTGCTGGTGTATACATCCATTGTCATGATACTGCTTTGCTGGGTAGAAATCTGTTATTTTTCATGAGCGGTAACTATAACTATAAAAACTCAAGTGACTTACTTCACTTTCCCAAGTGGCCAGAACTGTTTGCTTTTATATTGTATTTCCAATGTGTCCTTTATGTCTTTGAATGTTTTTTAAGAAGTCTGTGCCTATTTAAAAAGGAACCCAGCGTTGCCTTTCTGAGGGATCTGTTCCATGCAATACACTGTTGAGTGCTGTTCTCCCAGCTAGATTTATCCATGAAGGACCGAGTGACCTTTGTTATAGTTAATAATTCCTGATACGCATCAATTTCTGATGCTTTTTACAGTTGTGTATTATCTCCTATGTATGTTTTATTTCTGTTCAGAGTATTCAGGTTTGCCGTGGACATCAGAAGTCCGAATTCCACTCTTACTGACCTTATATTCCATGGTTGAATTTTAAAGCTGTTCAGGTTCAACAAGGAAAGAATTTTACTCTTTAGTCAAAACTGTTCTTATTTTTACTCTTGCTCAGGATTAGTATTTTTAAATATTTAATTACTATAAACACAGCACAGAATTTTAGAAGAAAAAAATTTTCCTAATATTGATGTTAACCTTTCATGAACATGAACATTATTTTCTCTTAAATTTGAGACTAATTAAAGCCAAGCAAAAGAAGATGTATGTCTTTTGCCTTGATGTAAAATCAAATGAGACTAATCCTATTAAAGATAAAGAACAAAAGAAATAGTGTGAGCGCTAAAGGACACATACATTGAATAAATTGGAATATGTGCTTATCTTTAGATCCATATCTTAGGTGCCATGTGTTTACTTACTGTAAAACTCGAGTTCATCTTTCTGTTAATTTCCCTTTGCCTTGAGACTACGACTGAAATGACTTATGACTACTCAAAACTTCTAGAGCCCAATGCAAGTCTGATTTCTGAGAAAGTCAGCAATGGCAATACTTATTTAATTTTTATATAGCAAATATAAATATTTTAGTAAATCATTTCACACAAAAGCACATTAAGATAATTGCAAAGAAAAGGGAACATATTTATGTTTATAAACTTGTTAGTTTCTGTTAGGGTACAGATATGTACCCTAGTTTTGAAAAAACTTTGAAGTTATAAAGAACAGCCAAAATGATAGCAGAACTAGTATTGGTAGAACTAGTATTTCTTATTCATGGAAACCATATTATATTTTGGATCCATTCACAGCTTTTGTAGACAGTGAAATCATTAATTTTCCAATGTAATTCCTTTAATAAAATATGTCAGCAGGCAATTTCTTACCTACCTAGAATATTTGGGTTATCTGAAAGATACCAATTAAAAATCTATAGAACTGTTCGAAGTTTTAATCCTATAGAGTATAATATTTAATGAATCACTAAACTTTATTTATTAGACATGGTGAGTGCTGAGTTTCTTCCTGCCACTTTTGCTACACCAACACATCATTTTTAAACTGGTCCCACATTACTGAGTAATACAATTTTAATTAACTTATTGAGTTTGCACTTATAATGTATATATCCCATGCTTCTGTTTCTCTAGAGTGCATTTTGCATCATACATAATTATATTTCTGCTATTGCAAATATGTGTATACTGCTGTATATGTGTATAAATTCACACGTGCATGTATGCATAATGAGAATCAAATTTCCTTTCTATTATTTTATTAAAATTTTATATTGGGGTTGTTAGTGTATATTTTTATTTTCTCAAAAGGAGTATGTTTTTCTATGAAAAATGCTATTCCTGAGAACTCATTTTTAAGTAATTTAACTTTTAAATTCTTAACTTTTGCGAAATAATTGACATATATTAAAATAGCCCAAAGAAACACTAAAAAGTATCCATGCTGAAAGTTAAACTCATAAATTGTAAATAACGAATATGAGAATTTATTAGTATAAACAGCACTATTAAATGAACTTTTGAGAAATTACCATAGCCATATTAGATTCTATTTGTTGTTTTTCAAAAAAATTTTTATCGTAATTTTCATCATGAATTTGCTGTTGTTTTAAGTGACTGGTCTTAGAAATAATCTTAGAGTGCTTCACTATATCTATGTGCTTACCGACGTTTTTTCCTCCATAAAAACCTAATTTTTTAAAGTTATTTCATTATTTGAAGGCTGTTTCCTGCTAGTCTCACTTATTCTTCTGGTGTTGTTGTTTTTTGGTTTTTTTAAAAGATTTTTATTGGGGAATTGGGGAGATGGGAACAGCGGTGGGGAGTTGGGGGAAGGGGAACAGACAAGTTGCTGTTGTTCTGTTCTTCAGTCTAGTTGTGGAGGACGTTGCTTCACTGGCCCAAGTTGGCACCATCATTGCGCTCTTCCCGGGTGAGGCAAATCAGTT